TGTTTGTATCCCTACTAATTTTTTTTTTTAACTTTTTATTGTCTTTGCTGTTGCCACTCAAAACTGTTGAATCGTAGAAGATGTATAACTAAAAGGGGGGAGTAGTTCTTTTTCATTTCAGGAACAGACTTTCCCAGGACATCATTCAGGAATAGCAGGAGTAGAGCTTGGGTTCCCTACCTGGAAAAACAGCGACAGCAGAGAGGGCTACAGAGACAGTGTCATGGAAAACAGGGTAGCTATGGTAAAGGCTGTGTTCCTACAGACAGAAGGCTGGCTTGCAGAATGTGCCCTTTGGACTTTTAAATGAATACATTTTGTTTTATTTTGTTTTGCACATGTTCATCAAATACTTTTGCTTTGTTGATTTGTGACATTTAAGATGAAAATGGGGCCAGTGCATTTTTTGGTTGTACGTGTTTTAGCTATATTGTGTTAGGCGCAAGTATAACTTTACAATTTTACTTAGAGATTATGCATACAGTTTATAGGTGTCAGGTTGAGAAGGGCAGAATGTAATGGTTAGGAATTTGTGTCAACTTGACTAGGCCAAGATTTCCAGAGGTTTATGAGTGGCTATGAACAACCAATCAATTAAAGGGATGCTTCCTTGGGGGTGTGGCCTGCTCCCAATATAATGGACACATGGGAGGGGCTCTCTTTCTCTCTTCTGCTAGGGACCTGGGACTCTACAATTATAAGATAATAAACTTCTATTTATGTATATTCACTGATTTTGCTCTCTAGAAAACCCTGCCTAAGACACACACCAACCACTAAAGCCAGTGATGATGAAACTGAAGAATTCTGTCAACTGTAGTTAGAAAATAGGGCCTTGCTGATAGAAATGATGCTGATCACATGATAGAATTTTGCAAGATCAACTCATTCACTGCAAATACCTTTTTTAAACAACATGAAGATGATTATACACATGGACATCACCAGATGGTATACAAAGGAAAAAAATTGATTCTACGAAGAAAGTTTCAACAGGATTGGTGAAAGACTCATTAACAGCCTGAGATATGCTGATGATACACTCTTGCTTGCTCAAAGGGAGGAGGACTTAAAATACTTACTGGTGAAGATCAAAGACCACAGCCTTTAGTATGGGTTGCACATCAATATGAAGAAAATGAAACCCTTCACAACTGGACCATTAAATTTGTTGCTGTTAAGGGCCGTTGAGTCAGTTCCAACTTATAGTGACCCTGTATAGGGTTTCTAAGGAGCAACTGGTGGATATGAACCGCCAACTTTGTGGTTTAAAAAGACCTTGTTTTATAGTGCATTATCCTGCAGCGCCACACTAGGACCAAAAAATAGCATCATGATAAGCGGACAAATGATTGAAGTTGCCAAAGACTTCATTTTGCTTGGATCCACAATCAACATTTATGGAAGCAGTAGTCAAGAAATCAAACAACATAGTGCATTAGGCAAATCTGTTGCACAAGACCTCTTTAAAGCGTTCAAGAGCAAAGATATCATTTTGAGGGCTAAAGTGTACCTCACTTTTGTTGTTGTTTTTGTCAGGTGCCATCGAGGCAGAATCAACTCATAGCGACCCCATGCACAGCAGAACGAAACAATGTCCGATCCTGGGCCAACCTCACTACCGCTGCCACACTTGAGTCCATCAACGACGCCACCTGGCCAATTTTTCTCATTAGGGGCCTTCCTCTTTTTCTCTGACCCTCCACCTTACCCAGCATGACATCCTTCTCCAGCGACTGTTCCCTCC